TATTTATTGTGTCACTTGGAAGAACAATAGACAAATCAGTCCAAAGGAATTACCCCCAACAATTATTTAAATGAATTTTTTTTAAAGTTATTTATCTTTGACATTTAAAATTCTCAGATACCGATTTTAGAAAAGAACCCTTATCAGCATACACAATTTGAAGTTTTTCTCTAAAGCCTTTTTTGAGCTATCGCGCCAAAAGACAGATGACAGACGACGACAGATCGACGAAATGGGGAAACATATTTTTCGTAACCTAGGAAGTCTGAAGCGTGAAAATCTGAAATAATCTCGGAGGGTGATTTTTTCGCAATTAAAATATACCTATTGTACCTAATTATAGAAAAATTATTTGGGATTCAAATAAACTGCAAAAGTTGCTCAAATTATGAGTAATTATTACACCCAATCAGTTCATGGGTAAGTTTAAAAAAAAATTATAAAAGTGTCAAATCTGGAGAACGTGGAGATCACCTATTAGATCTATGTTTACGGTTAAACCATTTGAAATATTATTATTGATTGAGCTAATTGGCATCAGTAATCATTATCTCTTCAATCTCCCTCTTAATAATGAACATTTTTGTTTTTCCTGTTCGGTGAAGGTCATTGTTGGAGTATAGATGGATTCGTTAGGTACGACAAGTGCATGAAAGATAAGGAGAAATGTTTCTATGGTCTATGATCTGCAAAACAGTAATCAAATATGAATAAGGCAACATTACAAGAGGTATTATAAGCCTACGCCTTGTGTTCTGGTAACTCTTTCATTTTCATTTCAACCTATTCTGGGCTTGTCTTCCAATTCTAACATACTCGTCTCCATGACCGCTGCGTCTGAGATCCTTCTTTCTTACCTCCTTGACCTTCTGTGACAACTTTCTTATTATGCCTCTGTTTTTCCGTCCTGGTTACGTCTCCAAGCTACCTTAACATTTGCGCGATTTGATATGTTTAATTGTACCACTGTGGCACTGTGTCCATATAATTCTTCTTGTTCTTTATCAAGTTTCCTCTTCTGGTTTCCATTTTTCATATCAGTTCCTTCAAAAATCCTTTTATTTACCTTCCCCTCCAATGGCCCAAGCTTAGCTTATATTTTGTTTGTTAGATCCTAGATTTGACAGTTTTTAGATACCGTGGGTCTAATTACGGTTCTGTTTGTTCCAATCTTTTCTGCTCTTGACATCTCCCAATTTTTTTTCTTCTAGTCTCTTGCTTGTTATGACCGTATTTCGTAAAAACATTGAATTTATCAATTATCTATTGAAAACAAAAAAGAAACAACACATTAATTAAATCGCTAATTAAAGGTAAATTATGTCAGAACTTGTGAAATTCATTAAAGAGTGACGATTCTAATCGTTTAAGAGATTTCGTTTTTGATAATAACTAATTAAAGGAAGAGTATGCTAATAATGGGAACTCCATTGTTTAGAATTAATATGCAAATAGAAAAAAAAAACAGTGTAAAGGTGTAAAAATTTATGTCAAAACTTTGTTTGTACTGGTTTGTTTTATCGAGTAACATGATGTATCCAAACTGTGCTATTTATAAAATAAACGATGCTTTTGAAAGTGTTTTTAATTTAAAGTTTAATATACTTGCATTATGTGAACGGTCTAATACAGTGTTATTCGACATATTTGGTACGCGAACTGTTTTGCACTTAAAATTTTTAAAGAAGCCACCGAAGAACAAGTATGGGTATAAACATCCCTAAGTGTTGGTTTAATTTGTACTAAATACTTATAAATACATTTATATACCTTTAAATACCTTTAAATACCTTAAAATACCTTTAAATACCTTTAAATACCTTTAAATACCTTTAAATACCTTTAAATACCTTTAAATACCTTTAAATACCTTTAAATACCTTTAAATACCTTTAAATACCTTTAAATACCTTTAAATACCTTTAAATACCTTTAAATACCTTTAAATACCTTTAAATACCTTTAAATACCTTTAAATACCTTTAAATACCTTTAAATACCTTTAAATACCTTTAAATACCTTTAAATACCTTTAAATACCTTTAAATACCTTTAAATACCTTTAAATACCTTTAAATACCTTTAAATACCTTTAAAAACTTTTAAATACCTTTAAGTACCTTTAAATACCTTTAAATACCTTTAAATACCTTTAAATACCTTTAAATACCTTTAAATTACTTTAAATACCTTTAAATACCTTTAAATACCTTTAAATACCTTTAAATACCTTTAAATACCTTTAAATACCTTTAAATACCTTTAAATACATTTAAATACCTTTAAACACCTTTAAATACCTTGAAATACCTTCAAATACCTTTAAATACCTTTAAATACCTTTAAATACCTTTAAATACCTTTAAATACCTTTAAATACCTTTAAATACCTTTAAATACCTTTAAATACCTTTAAATACCTTTAAATACCTTTAAATACCTTTAAATACCTTTAAATACCTTTAAATACCTTTAAATACCTTTAAATACCTTTAAATACCTTTAAATACCTTTAAATACCTTTAAATACCTTTAAATACCTTTAAATACCTTTAAATACCTTTAAATACTTTTAAATACCTTTTAAGTACCTTTAAATACCTTTAAATACCTTTAAATACCTTTAAATACCTTTAAATACCTTTAAATACCTTTAAATACCTTTAAATACCTTTAAATACCTTTAAATACCTTTAAATACCTTTAAATACATTTAAATACCTTTAAATACCTTTAAATACCTTTAAATACCTTTAAATACCTTTAAATACCTTTAAAAACTTTTAAATACCTTTAAGTACCTTTAAATACCTTTAAATACCTTTAAATACCTTTAAATACCTTTAAATTACTTTAAATACCTTTAAATACCTTTAAATACCTTTAAATACCTTTAAATACCTTTAAATACCTTTAAATACCTTTAAATACCTTTAAATACCTTTAAATACCTTTAAATACATTTAAATACCTTTAAACACCTTTAAATACCTTGAAATACCTTTAAATACCTTCAAATACCTTTAAATACCTTTAAATACCTTTAAATACCTTTAAATACCTTTAAATACCTTTAAATACCTTTAAATACCTTTAAATACCTTTAAATACCTTTAAATACCTTTAAATACCTTTAAATACCTTTAAATATCTTTAAATACCTTTAAATGCTTTTAAATACCTTTAAATACCTTTAAATACCTTTAAATACCTTTAAATACCTTTAAATACCTTTAAATACCTTTAAATACCTTTAAATACCTTTAAATACCTTTAAATACCTTTAAATACCTTTAAATGCCTTTAAATACCTTTAAATACCTTTAAATATCTTTAAATGTCTTTAAATGCTTTTAAATACCTTCAACTACCTGTTAATTTCTTTAACTACCTTTAAATGATTTTAAATATTTTCAAATACATTTAAATACCTTTAATTGTCTTAAAATACCTTTAAATACCTTTAAATGCCTTTCAATACCTTAAAATACCTTTAAATGCCTTTCAATACCTTAAAATACCTTTAAATACCTTAAAATACCTTAAAATACCTTAAAATACCTTAAAATACCTTAAAATACCTTAAAATACCTTAAAATAACTTAAAATACCTTAAAATACCTTAAACTATCTTAAAATACCTTAAAATATCTTAAAATACCTTAAAATACATTCAAATACCTTAAAATACCTTGAAATACTTTAAAATACCTTAAAATACCTTAAAATACCTTAAAATACCTTAAAATGCCTTAAAAATGCCTTAAAATACCTTAAAATATCTAAAAATATCTTAAAATATCTTAAAATATCTTAAAATACCTTAAAATACCTTAAAATACCTTAAAATACCTTAAAATACCTTAAAATACCTTAAAATACCTTAAAATACCTTAAAATGTCTTAAAATACCTTAAAATACCTTAAAATGTCTTAAAATACCTTAAAATACCTTAAATACCTTAAATACCTTAAAATACCTTAAAATACCTTAAAATACCTTAAAATACCTTAAAATACCTTAAAATACCTTAAAATACCTTAAAATACCTTAAAATACCTTAAAATAACTTAAAATAATATTAAATACCTTAAAATACCTTTAAAAATGCCTTTAAATAATATTAAATATCTTTAAATATATTTAAATACCTTAAGGGATAATCAACATATTTCGTTTTAGTTTTGTCATATTCAAACCACAATTTCTTATTTATTTCATATATGAGTAGGTACCCTGTAGTTTATTTATAGTTGCAATTTAAAATTTTAATGTTCTCTACTATAACTAAATAAGTGAAATAAACATTTAAATTGACTATTTAGCTGGACCATTAAAACAGTTAAGGTTAATTTATTAATGTTTTTTATTTGGTATCACTGCAATAAAATTTAATACAATTTACTATGTGATAGGTGTAGGTAATCTGGTTTGTATTTAATTGATTTTGAAATTGCGACCCCAAATCAAATACAGGTTGTCATCAATATGACCGAGCGTTCATTAAAAAATTCAACTTTAATAATTATTTTATATCTGTAATTTCTCTTTTATATACAACTGTAACATGTTAAATGTTAAATTTTAAATGTTCAGCTCTCCTGGATATTATATACAGTTTTCTATATTTATCTTTATTTATTATATTTCTCCATTTCTAAAAATTCTTTTATATTTTTGAGGGACTTCCGGATATTATAACGAATTGTGTCAAAAATCGGAAAGAAGCATGGCTAACTAGGAGCAATCATTGCATTCCGCGACCACATGTGTATATGATGCGTGAAACCTAATGATGAACTGTCTGGGTTTACATGTGTCACTCATTTTCTTGGTTTAAAACTTACACACAAATCGATTCATTTGCTATTTGACTCCCGAATGGCATTGTATATATACTTACGCGAATTGTGACCCCATCTAAACAAGCCTCAATTTGTTAATATTAACGAATTAATAAACATCGAAATGCATCAAGTAACACATTATTTTGTTGCAGGAATACATGAGACTCCACTTGTATGTCGGATGAAGAGCTGAAACTGAGGCAGGGCAGGACATAGTTGCGCTTGTGAAATTTAGTGTTAATAAATAAATAAATTTAGTGTAAACGGTAGTGGAGATGAAAGAATGCAGCTCTAGTGTTTAATGTGATTGTAGTGTAAGCAAACTCGGTGTATATTACTTGCTGTGATTAAAAATAATATTAGCATGAGTTCATACTTTACCAATTACATGCCGGACATGAGAAATGGTGGTGTCGTATCGGCAGAGCATCAACACCAGCATTACGGAGCCGCCGTCCAAGTGGCACAAGGTGGAGGACCAGTACAAGGAGATCCAAGCTCTTGCTCGGGTGATCCTTCCGTGGTGGGATTGCGTCAAGGAATACCGCCACACCATTATGGAGGTCCACCAGCAGCCGGCCAACCACCCCAAGGGATGCCCTATCCAAGGTTTCCGCCTTACGATCGGATGGACATTCGAAACGCCGGTTACTACAATGCGCAGCAACAAATGGACGGCCAGTACAGGCCAGACAGCCCCACGAATATGCATATGGCGACCAATGGACCTCCGAATGGACACCAAACCCCTGTTGTGTATGCTAGTTGTAAATTGCAAGCGGCAGCGGTGACGCAGAATGGGGTGTTAGGCCCCACTGGTAGTCCGCCTCTTGATAGTGCGCAAACTATGAACGCCCATCATAACATGGGTCACCATATGCAAGAACAGCACCCGCAACACCATCAGCAGGCGCACATCCCCCCGCAACAACAGCAACATATGATGTACGCCGGGCAACCCAACGCCAATATGCATCAAAATCCCCAACATCAACCTCCTCTTCCGCAGCAGCAACCCCAACCTGGACAACAACCGCCAAATAATACTGCTTCTGCATTACCTAGTCCTCTTTATCCTTGGATGAGGAGTCAATTTGGTAAGTTTGTTTACTACTTTTAATATTTTTTTTTTAATTCTGGTGGAAATTTGGAACATAAATTTAATCTTTATGTTACAAATTTTAAATTATTACAAGACATCCTCGATGCTCTAAATACAAAAAAAAACATTTTAACTTAATTCTGGTAATATAGAACTAAAATATAAATCTAAGTATATCTAATAAATATATATATATATATATATATATATATATATATATATATATATATATATATATATATATATATATATATATATATATATTGATCAAATTAGAAGACATCTAAAAACATGAGAAAATATGATTAGATTGAAGTGTAACACTCCCTAAAATTTAGGTCAAATATTGCTTTGTTTTTAATAATATTTCCAGTTATGAAGCTGTAAGACAAGGCAAATAGGTATTCCATTTGGAGTTTCTAATATAGTTTGTACCTTAAAAATAAAGAAACAAAAAACCAGAAATTCTTTTTCTTCCAAATTTTTCATATTATCGATAATGGTATAAAAATACACATGTCAACTTGATATTATTTTTTATTTGAAAAAAAAATTAATTCAAATTTTCAAATAATGTAAATCACATTAATTTTATTCATAAATCGTTTACCATTAAATAACATGCAATTACACTACAATAAATACATTTCTAATTGTATAATTAATATTTTAAAATCTACATTTTAACATAAACTTATAATTCTTTAAAAATGAAATTAACATCAAATAATCATTATCATTATGTACTCATTTTCATATGTATTATATTTGTCTTTTTGTGCTCAAAAATATTAAAGCAAAAGAAGCAACCGAATATCTAAATTTCAAAAAGAGTATGTACTTTATAAATATGTAGGCAAGCCATACAATAAGTTTATATGGGCGATTTTAATTTATCAGAAATTAAAGGTACAACCAGTGATTTAAGCATTGTAATTTTAAAAGGAAATTGTTTATTGGATTTTTTGAGTTTTAATTCATTAATGCTTTTTAATAATGTAAAAAACTATTTGGGTAAAACATTGGATTTGGTCATAGGAGATAAAACAAATATAGATAATTACATGGTTCAAGAAGAAAAGGTTCCACTAGTTAAAATAGATCAGTACCACCCATATCTAGAAATTAATTTAAATTTTAATAAAGTTTACAGATCTAGAGAGAACAAAATTGTAGATAATAAATTAAATTTTAAGAATGCCAATTTTGAATTAATGTATAAGATGATGGAGGAAAGTTATTGGGACACTATCACCCAGGAAACTGAAGTGAATAAGGCTATGGAAAAGTTTAATGAAATTATAAGTAATATTTTCCAGTTAACTGTTCCTTTATATAGAACTCATAATTGTAGAACTTATCCTGTTTGGTTCTCGGCTGACATTAAAAAACTTATTAAGGAAAATGAGGATTACAAAAAACTCAAAAATATTTCAGAATTTTATAATCAGAAATTTATATAAAATAGAAAAGAACTCAAGTCAAATTTAAAAAAAACGTACAGAAATTACTTAAAAAAAAATTGAAAACGACAGTTTCGCGGATGTTAATGTATTCTGGAATTTTATAAATAGTAAAAAAGTCTAAAATATCTACATTTACTGTAAGTGGAAAATCAGTACCTGAAAAAAATGTAGTTGAAAAATTTGCGGAATTTTTTTCCTCTGTACACAATTCCGAAAAATCTATTTATAATTTAAATAATTATATAAATAATTGTGCCAATTTTGATTTGTGTTTATGATCTGAAATAAATGAAAATTATTTTAACAAAGCCATAAAAAAGTTAAAGCCAAAAAAGGCAGCAGGAATTGATAATATTCCACCATATATCTTAAAAGGATGTTGTCACTTGTTAAAAATGTTAAAAATACCATTGTTACATATTTATAATTTAATTATTACAAGTTTTATATTCCCTTCACAATGGAAAATATCTTATTATACACCTATTCATAAAGCAGGAAAAACATCAGAAATTGAAAATTATAGAGGAATTGCAATAAATTGCTCTGTCTCAAAACTTTTCGAACAAATTATTTATAACAAAGTGCTAGATCATGTACAAAATATCATAGTGGATAAACAGCACAGTTTCGTTCAATTATTAGTAATTTACTTATATTTACTGAAAGTGCTATTAGAGCTATAGAGGAAAAATTACAATTAGACGTTGTGTGCACTGATTTTAGGAAAGCATTTGGTCAAATCCATCATGACACATTATTACAAACATTGTTAAACTATGGGCTCTCTGTGGGTTTTGTTACTTTGTTAAAAAACTACTTAGAAAATCGATTGTATAAGGTTTGGTGGAAACACATCAGGAAAATATCATGCGAATTCTGGTGTGCCACAAGGTTCAAACCAGGGACCTCTATTGTTTACACTTTTTATAAATGATTTAGCATCTTGTGTTAGAAACTCTGAATGTTTACTTTTTGCTGACGATTTTAAGCTTTTTAGACGAGTAGAAACAGTCAGAGATTGTGTGTCGCTCCAGAAAGATATCAACAATATTGTAGCATGTACTAAATCTAATAAGTTACTTTTTAATATTAAAAAGTGTTGCATACTTTCTATTACACGAAAAAAACTTTCAATAGTTTTTGATTATACAATGGAACAACAAATATTGGAAAGACGTCTTGAAGTTAAAGATCTTGGAATGTGTTATGGCAATCAAATGTCGTTAGTTCCGCATATTAAAAAATTGCTCTTAGTGCAAATCGTGCATTAGGTTTTCTTATAAGACAAACATCTCAATTTACAAATTTAAAAAATGTCTGTATCTTACTTTAGTACGAACAAAATTAGAATTTGCTTCAGTAGTATGGGCACAACAACCTCAAATACATTTAGACTCATTAGAGAAAATACAAAATACATTTTTGCGATATCCTTATTATAAAAAATATCATGTCTGACCTGATTATATCGAAATAAGAACCTCTATGCTTAGGGAAGAATTTGTAGTACCTTCACTAATTAATAGACGTAAGCAACCTATGATTTTGTTTCTTTATAAAATTATCAACAATCACATAAACTGTATGCAATTATTATTATTGTTAGTACCATTTAATGTTCCATCAAGACGTGTCAGATCCCCATTAAAATTTAATATTTCTAAAAGTCCTTTGCAATCTCCGTTAACTCATATCATAAGACTTGCTAATAATTTCAGTTTAATGAGCAATATAGATTGGATAATTGGTCATATCCAATTTAAAATGGTTTTATATGACTATCTAAATACTTTAAGTTTTTAATCTAAACATTTTAAGTTTTTAATTATAGATATGTCTATCAGTTCAGCACTTTTTTCTGTATTTTTCGGTTTCGGTATTTATCTGCCTCCTCCGTAAATGTACATTCTACTTATTATAATTTGAGCATCATGTTATAAAATTACATATATTTGGCTGTTATGTTAAGTAATCTATTCATGTAAAAAGGCCAATAGGCCTGTTTGAGTTTTGGTAAATTAATAAATAAATAAAAAAATAAAATATAATTTATAGAATTTCAACTATTTAAATTACTTATGAAGTACTTGCAAAATTGCTTATTTAAACTTATTCGTTTTTCTTGCTTTACAAGATAAATTAAAACATTAAAAGCCATACTTTCTTATATAATAAGTCAATTAAAGAATAAAATCCAAAATCAATACCACGTATAAATGTATTGTTCTTAAACATAAATAGGTTCAAATCATTACAGTCATCTACAGGCAAAAAAATGTATAAACATTAGATAAACATTATTTGAATTTTGATGTTGTAATTAGATAAATGGTTTGTCATATCAAGATGTAAAAATTGTTGTAGTGGTAACAGTATGACTTCATTTGAGTGCGACACACATTTGGGTACACTGAATTGTCCAAATATTTGTTCTTCTTGTTCCCACCAGTTTTGATTAATGTCATATATCGACTATGATTTTAATTTGTTGATTGAGAATAATTCAATTTCGTCTACGAAAACAAAAATAAAATTATTTATGTTTACATAATTTATTTCGGATAAAACAGATTTTTACGGAACAAATATCTTAGTCAGTTAATTGTGAGATGTTAAAATTAAACATTAATTTACAGAATTGCTTTTTACAGTATTTAACATGTTATATTTAACCTCATTCAAAAACATAAATTGTAAAACAAACAAGTAATATTTTAGACGATAAAAATTGTAAATTTTAAATAAGTTACTAAGCTTATGAGGTAATTCTTGTTAAGAAAAGTTTGTTACATTGCAAGCGGCAGTTTTAATGGGTCCGATCTACTAGGAAAAGTTGCATTATAAAACATTTTGCGAAAGGTGATCCACTTATTCACTTACCGACCTTGTAAACTTAAGAAGTTGACGTTTATTATCTGTGGGGAGAGATTTATCACGTTCCTTTGAATTTGTGGCAAAATTTTGCATAACTACCCTGGATGTCTCAATCTAACGTAAAAGTATCCCTTCACGGGGGGTCTGGTTAAACCAGCACAATGCCATTTAACATGGTTTTGAAGGGCAAAATTATTGCAGTTATTTTTTACTGTCATCGGTGCAATTTCATGTTTTAGTATGTTTTTTATGGTATAGTTGTAATAATGAGGATGAGATTTAATAGAATATATTAATAATGACCTATTTTTATCGAATAAAATAGGAACATATTAGGTACGTAAAAATCAATTCAGTTCAGAGAAGCAATAAAATATTACCTGCTGTTTTATTGAGGTTTTGTTACATTTTGCAATTTGCTGCATCTTTACATTAGACCGTCAGTTTTCTGTCAGTGCTTGTGCAACTAAGGTTTCAGTTAGAAATTACGTAAGTTAAATCATTATAATTTTATTCACATTATTTAAGCAAAAAGGAAATATATCTTTTATTTAATCTGTTATTACATTTTTAAATAGATCGGGAAATATTTTTAACTAATGGGTTCTTAATATGAGAAATATTTGAAAATATTTGATAGGAATCCGTTTCG